CGGGAAACGTCGGAAATCGATTCTAAAGGTCAAATTACATCTGCAGCATGATTTGCACGTGCATCGGGTTACAGGTACTTCTTATTCGCCAATTTTAGCGTGTGGCAGGCGCATGCGAGTAAAAACCCGATATTTTTAAAAACTGGAAATAAAGATTTGTACTGGCTGTATTCAAGTGAAATTCTGGATATAAAAGCGCTTGAATACAGCACATATTTCACTCATATTGATTTGTGGCGAACTCGGAAGAATTCACAAGTTATATACGCTATTGTGGAAACAAAATTCTGAATGTTTGGTCAAGCGGTGAGTAAATATATGATTGTTTCGGTTTGTGTGATGCTTTGACGGCATTCGACCCCCCGTTGAAAAGGTTATTTTATTAGGATTTCAATGGTATTCTTTGTTTTAAAGGGGGTGAATACGCGCTGAGATATTTACGTTATAAACAATTGAGTTGTAAATCGTCAAAATGTCGCTGGTCGATAAAGAGTTAATAATATATCATATAAATATTGTGGATCCTTCTTTTCTCTTTGATCTAAAAATAAGTAAATGTATTATTCACTTTGTTTTATTAAACTGCAGAGCTTCCCTATATTCACGAGTGTATCGCAACTAAATTGTACCAGAAAAAATAATATTACGCTACCAGACTTGACAAATAGAAAGCCGCTTACCTTTTCTTCGAAATATTCATAAAACAGACGAAAATAGTCCACTTATATTCCAAAACGAGCAGTTTTAATAATCATAGTGCGGTTTTCGCCATATTATTTGTAGTAAAATTCTCGCACTATACTACCTAAGAACATGGCCGCCGCTCTCTTGCGGGTGCATGCAGGCCTATGTCGGCACGACGCCTAACATCAAAGGAGTGTCCCTTCTGGTAGTGATGGGCGATTACCGATTACTTGGTATCGATACCACTCGATACCAGGCCCAAACAGGAAGTAGTCGATACTGCACGGTATTGAAAAAGTGTTTTGATTACTTTTAAAATTAGACATTCATTATAATCTTGTAGTTGTGTCATCGTTTTCATGGTTATTTCTAATAAAATTTATGTACTTTTTGGTATTTTGCTGCAGTTAACAATTTAATCAAACTTCCTTTATACTTCATTTTACATTCTATTCTCGCCGACAGAATGAATTATGAAAAAGGCGGGAAATAAAGTTTTTTTAATTTTTTATGGATTGAAATGGCGGATCAAATCGTTACTGTTAAAAATATGTAACTTTTTGAAAATTGGACGAAGTAATCGTTTGGGTAATCGATACCTCGATATATTTTAACCAAAAAGTAATCGGTATCGTATCGAAACCGATACTGGTGGTATCGCCCATCACTACCTTCTGGTTCTATTCCTTATTCTGTGGCATTGCCTTAGTTTGAAACCTAACCCCCACCCAACCTCCTCTCCAACCCCTAACCTAATCTAATCTTAATCCGAAACCAATCCTGCCATCTGAGGCGATTACTTTAATACCAAAACGTCTTGTCTAATGCTTGTAGTTTTGTTAAATTAAGGGTATGTATTAATTTAGGAGATTTTCACAATTAAGACAGCCTTAATTTTGGGGAAGAGATCATGTTGGTGTTGCACACGCAAATGAAAGAAAACATGTGCGGAGAACAGAGTCAAATCTAGCGATGTCAACTCTATCTTTTAGAATATTTGGCAGATGCATAGTTATGAACTACATATATGACGAAAACTTTTCAAGTGAGAATGAACATCAATTAGGGAACAAGTTAATAAGACTGGCTACAGATTTCAAAGTCAGTTTTGAATCTTTTAATTTATTAAGTCAAATTTTTAATATATTTTAAATGAAATTATTGATTTAAATTTTTTTATGGTTAGTGAGGACTAGCAATCTAAAAGATAACATTTCCCCACGGCCTACAATTCTATATAAAAAAAATTATGGGACTTTCAAATGCAGTGCTTGTCATATCATTGATTTTCCCATTGGGTATAACTTATTTGTCCATGCAATGCCATGCATGCAATAGCGTATATGGCACACTTACATTATTAATATCATGCATACATTCACAGTTTAGTTAAAAATCGATATGTTTATATAGGGTTTTTTAATAGCTTGGGTCACAATGTTTGGAAAGACATGGATTAATGAATGTCCGAGATTGCACAAAATTTACAGAAACGTGCTTACAAAGTTAGTTTCTAGTCAACAACCAAGGTGGCACAAAGGTGTGGTTGGAATTCTTTGCACAGATGCCATGGTAAATTACTTCTGTATGATACTTGAGATTAGATTGGCATGCTCAATAAATATATTCACTCACACTCACTAGTCACTAACATCATCCTTGTTTATCATCAACCTTTTTATGAGGGGAAAATGATTTTTAGCGGACCACTACTTGTTATATATTTTTCTGGTGATCCAGTTCCATCGGATTGCCATTGGTCATGTTAATGAAGAGCATTTGAAAGGAAGTCTTCAACACATGGTCAAGTATGGCTTCTTGAAAGAGAGTACAGAAAAGGAATCATCATTTTGGACCCGTTTGGTGGCAGAAATCCACCAGGCACTAGAAGAGAAAGTCGCGGTTTGTATGATAAAATTGTTCTTGCATGTTCATGACATGTTGACTTATTGTTTCTTTTTAATCAAAATACAAATAGCGATCTGGAAATTTTTATTGATCCGCCTTGCACTACCCTTTCGGATTTCAGTTGTATGATTTATTGATAAAATTGCAAGATCACATGCTTGCAGTTTATCTACAGAATGAAGAAATGAATTATAACTATTTATTTAATAACATGATATATAATACCTTTCATTCACATTAGAGCCTGAATGGTTAAATCTGTGTGTTAATGTAATGGTGAAAGGGAAATTTGTTACAGCTGTCGGAATAACCTGCAATAGATTTGCATCTTTTGCAACTATTGGAACAAAGGTATATTTCAACTGTTAAGTATTATTTTTTATTTATTTTTAATAATTTACTTAGGCCAATTTGGTTTAGGAGTGTTGCTGTTTTTTCATTGAGGTCGCATTAGTAGGACGCAGTCACGAGAAGTGTGCATGCTATAAGTAGCACTGAAACAGCCCTTCTCAATTCTTAGGAAACAAAAAATCATGATTTTAACAGTCATTGATGTACCAGAAACAAACAAGTCACCCGTTAGTACGATGGTAATTGGTTGTCGCAACTGGCGAAACAGCAACCATTCAAGACGCGAGGGAAAAAATAAAGAAAAGATGAAGAATGCAAAATGTTTCAAAGTTCCCAAAACAACGCTTGAGGAATCTAGGCCATGGGCCAAGTGCCGAAAATGTGACTTTTGAATACGCACCTCGGGGAACCAAAAAATTTCTTCAATAACTGTTAGCATATGTATTTTAGAACAAAATTATGTGGTATGCCAATCGTGAGTCTTGCATATTAATGAGAAAAATCAACCGCTTTCTTGACTAATTTGTATGAATTTACTAAATACTTTGTTTCAAATACCCAGCATGTTTATATCTCTTAACCAATAAAAACGGATTTTGCCCAACATTAAACCAATCAGATAAGTGTATCATGTTTCAGTCGCAACAAAGACTAGTTGTAAACAAATATGGTGTCCATCGGTGAAGGCAGACGATATAATAAATAATGCAAGAGGAAAATTAACTTCTTTTACATATACATTATTATTTACATATACATCGGAAATGGCATTTCCTGCAATTTCGACGGTGGAAGGATGTCACTAAACAAAGTTTCCATACACCTCTAACAGGAGTATTTTCCCTTCGTAAAATACAAAAAATGCCATCTGGCCGAGAGAAGATCTGTGTGAGCTCAGAGAAGTGCTGTGCTAGGTAAAAATATTGCCCTCTGCACTGAGTCTGCAGTACAACGAATAATTAATCACTGCACCTCGTATAATGTCTCAAGCACCGCATATGATGTTGAAACCACAGCAAGTAGTTACAGCACTGCGTATAATGATAAAACCACTGCGTACAATGCTGAAGGTACCGCGTATAACGTTATACCGACCGCGTATAATGTCTCAAGCACCGCGTATAATGCTAAATTGAATTGATTTAATGACTACTGACTTTGTAACCCAAATGTCTCAAGCACTGCATATAATGTTAAAAGCACCTCGTATAATGTTGCGTGTAGCCCATATATGTCAAAATCATCGCATATAATGCTCGAACTCGAAGCACCGCGTATAATGTAAAGAGCCCCGTGTATAACGATAAAAGCACCACATATATAATGCTAAAAGCACGGAATGAAATCATGGTTAATAGACTAAGAGATGAAATGAAATTCCGCTATGACTTTCCATAAGGTTCGTCAGGCTCGTTGAAGCCATTGTATACAAATCACAAAAGCAATATCAAATATGATATGAATAGTAATATGATGAGCTACCACCGTCACTGTCGTGAATACTCGCGCAGAAGCTTCGTCAGAAAGGTTTGAATATTAACAACCTCCGCCTTCATAAAATAGCGGGACTTCGGCATTAAAAAAAAACGTTCTGGGCATGCGCTGCGCCAATTATCCAATCAGAAACCAGAATTTCTTGTGTAAGATAGTATTGCATATTCCGCCACATGAAAATCGGTGGAACACGAGACATGCGATTCACGAATTGCGTGAGTAAGCAATAAATTGCGTGGAAATTAGCTAATTCTGCAGGGTATCAGTTACTAGACAACAAAGAGGTCAAAGAGCAGACAGCAATATTGCATAAACTTTAAATAAATGACAAATGAAAGTACTGAAAAATGATCATAATTAATGTTTAAATTTTCAGAATAAGCAAAGCTGTGATTTTGGGTTCACTATAAAACATTTACTCATTTTTTTGGCCTTATAGCCAGTGGCATAGCCAGCGGTCGCTGGCTACGCCACTGGCTATAAGGGACGAGAATGCCAAAAAAATGTAAGAGAGGATTGTTGAGAATTGTGCAAAATATAGTGGTGTTTTATTACAATGAACCGAAATATGATCAAGTTAGGTCATTCAATAAACTCAGATACGTCCTAAATCCTTAAAAAAGTCATGGAAGACTAGTATATTGAGTTAAAGTTGCACTATTAATATTATTTTAGTGATACTAATGTTGACATGGTCGTTTTTTATTATTACAAATGTATTAAAAAAAATTCAAAAGTATACATTTCGGAAGTTTGTTTTCGATACATATGTATGACTACAAAGTACAATGTGTTTCAAAAATTATATTTTCAGTGTTTAATATAATAATCCATACAAACAACAAAGTGATGCCTATGTAGGTTTTGTCTAAATGTTGTTTTCCACCACTGTAGTTAGTTTAGAATTAAATTTCACATTAAATTTTACGAAACCGAGACATTAGTTCATCATGGAAGTAAGTAAACATCATGCAAAAATACATGAAATGTAATTTAATTGTCCTGGTGTGGACGGTGTGGTTAATTAGTACATCAGGGTTGGACCAAGACTCGGCCCTCTTTGGGTGCCATAATTGCTGTTAGCAAAAAATCATCTTTGGATTTAATTTGGGAGCATGTCTCATAAAATTTAGGTCATTAATTGATTTAGTAATCACTCCCTTTCCAATAATAGTGATTGTATTGGGATATCAGGGGGGTGGTAGGGGGTTAACTTTCGGTTTCCCCTGAGGAATGTATGATATTTTTGTGGAATGACGCAGTGTATATATGTGTGTCTTTGTAATAAATTCTGGTTGAGTAATGTCATACACCCTCCAATAAGATAGGTATTGTTGAACGGGGGAGGGGGCTTTTAGACTAAATAGGAATGAACATTGGTTGGCGGATGGAACACAGTAGCAAATGCAGGGGGGTACCTTACTGAAGGGTTTATGGCAAACAGTATTTAAATCAAATTGAACAGTATTTGATGGTTCTTGTATTCAATACCTAAATACAGGCACCCCCATCACATTTTATAAAGAAAACATGGTGATTAACCAACTTGTAATATATAAAAATTATTATGCATGTTTGAGAAATAATACTGATTTAATTAATAGAGAATAAGTATTCATTTCAGCTCCACTTTATAAACTGTTACAGTTCATTTTGTTGTTTGTTTTGTTAAAAAAACTTGTGCGCTTAATTTATATTACAGGTGTATATGTACTACAGAATACCGCAGAAATTTACATGTTCCATCTTTTGTCAAATGTGTATAACATAGCGTGTTAAATATTTTTTAGTGTAGTTTCTAATTATTTTTTTTCTTCTTGTGGGGTCTTGTGTTAGATTTGGCAGATTCTATTATTTTTTAAATCGGACATTCTGTGGATAAAATCCTAATGTACCACAGCATACCAGTGTGGCAATAAGTAAGAAATGGTTTATCACATTATACGAGGATTTGGTGTGTCATGTTGTGTGATAATACTGTGCTGTCAGATATTGCTAACTTAATTTAGTGGAAGGTATAAATACTAAAATCACTACAGAATATCGGTGGTATGAGTTTTTTTATGGTAAATTTGATCACTCGGTGGGATTCCTGAATAGTAAAAGTGTTGTATCGCTTAGAAAAACTGTTAATGAATGTAAATTTTGTTGGTTTGTGAACTTATTTTCAAACTTTCTGATTTTACAGGCATTAAGCAAAAAAAGGTACCAAAAATAAGGAATTTTATTTGTTGTTTATCCCGATTATTTTTAAGAATTTTATGAAAATGTCCATTTTTCATTTTCATATGACCACTCAGACTCAAGCTAATATATATTCACAAAAATAAAGTATATAGCATGTTTCCTTCAAATTTTTTAAGAGAAATTAAAAAACTGGTATTCTGTGGTACTGTGATATTCTGTGGTTAACATACACCTGTACACGTAAAAGAGTAGTATGAAAAACTCTTTACAGGTATTACTAACAGATTGTACACCTTGGGGCTTGGTCATTGCAAATGTTTTCCAGTCAGTTTAACAATTATCATGTGAAAATAAAGTTAACATAAAGAGCAATTTGCATAAAATATGAAATCACGCAATCCAAGATGGCCGCCAACTATAAAAAAACTTTACATACAATTGACTCGATTTGTGACTTAATGTGCAAGTTTCAGGCTTGGCATACATAAAAAGAAACAATCAGCAATGCATAAGCTCACTATGGTGTAAAATTCATCTGGCTCCCCGAGGTGCATATTCAAAATCGATTTCTAAACACATTTTTGGCACTTGGCCCATGGCCTAATCATTGATTCATGAAATTGAATATGGTAAGAAACATTTCTGTATATATCTGCATTGACCAAGAGCATTTCTTGTGTGCATATGCAGCATCATGGATAAGTTCACATGCATATTTCATTAGAACCCATAAATTAAAACTTCTATGCTATTTCTTTAGATAGACAGCAAAATATGATTTTATATATATGTTCACTTCGAGGCTATCGGACATGAAATTGCCTTAAGCAAATATCGACTTTCTACAGGCAGCGAGGTTTTCCATTTATATAGCTTGTGGATTACGCGAAGAAGTTGTCCAAAGCGCACCAGAATGTAGCGAATCCTTGGAGGAGGGATTTCAAAGCAGTATTAGCGAGGCTGTTGATAAAATTATGCAGATTTTAAACGAAAACACTATTGGTAAGTTACTACACCTTACCAACAGGTATTTGGTGGAACAACCATTATGGAAATTAGCTGTCGGCACCCAAGGAATGTCTTATTTATATGTCCACGATGTCGACTTATGGTTGGGCTTTGCCCTCGTAACATTTTAAACACATGAAAATTTTAAAATGTGTGAATCTTTAAATTTAGTTGGAGGGATGTGTCTATCGTATGTGGAGCCCAGTAAAATTTCGAATATATATGTACATATTCATTTTCTATATTTTACTACATATATAACAGTTCATGAGCAATCTTTTATCCATCATTATAACTTATGTTATTTTCGCGCGGCATGGGGGCTCCTATTTAATCCAATTGTTAATTATTCAAGTTGGGAGTACATCAGATCATATGATATAGACTGTTTAATTATTCTGGTAGGGTGTTCTGGTAGGGTGTTCTGGCCGGTTTGAGATTGGCACGAAGGGAGGAAGTTGAAAGGGAAAGTACAGTTATAGACACTCATGAAAATAATGTACTACATCAACATTATTTTGACAACATAGTAATGTACAGTAATTTTATTAATTTAGGTGAATTGCCCAGAAATAGAAAACTGCACCCCATCATTGGTATCAAGATCATCAAATGAACGTCCGTAATTTTTTACTTCCAAATAGACATAAAGATAAACAATATTTATAAACATTTTTGAATTACTAGAAAGGATTTAACTTCTTTGTTTATTTAATACTGTTACAGACTGCAATACAATGTACCTTTAATATAGGGTTCAAGAAAAGACTGTTTTCCGAAGGAACAATCGTATTCTACCGAAAAGAGGTTCGTAACTATTATATTAGTTCAATAATGAGTTTTGCCTTCAAATATTTATAACAATAAAATAGGTTCTGATTGATTTTGGATAAAAGGTAAAATGATCACTTATAAATATTTATGAATAGTTTGATCTGATATACGAATTATTTGTGGCATTTCCTTTAAATCTTTTGTTGTTGTGTTATATTGGCTTAAATGATACTGAAAATTATAACAGTTTTTACAAAGTCGTCAGCATTGTTAAAATAAAAGGACCAATGTAAAGCATATTGTAGCATAATTATGTTATAAATTCGAGCTCCAATGATCGTAATTTTAATATATTTACAAATTACAATAACATTAGTAATTTCTTTTCAGGTAAAAAAGATGTGAAATCACCAGATGACATTTGCATTAAATGTAAACAATAGGAACCAGATGATGAATGGACAGGTGCATGGGTTCAATGTGACAAATGTGATGGTTGGTTGCACTTGTAATGTCCCAGTCAAATCCAACCGCGATCAGGCCCCCCCCCCCGGCAACCCCCGGGGAATTTGACTTTTGAAAAAAAAATTGGTCAAATGCCCGCCCGAACAGGCAGAAACCACAGTCAAATGCCCTGCTATAGGGGTAGTCCTGTTTCTGGAATTTTGACTAAAATTAAATTGAACAAGTATTTCAAGATTAAAAAGAACGAAAAATAGGCCAGACAGTTCTTTTTGTTCAACTGGGCATATTGTATCTTTGATTGATATTTGTGATTCAGAAGCAATTTTCAAACTATCGAAAAGACACAAAATAGAAAACTCGTAAAGCGCTAGAATGTACACATATTTTTAGGGAAAACTGCTGAGCAAGTTGTTGTCAAGTGGTCAAATGCTGGCCAGGCCGTCAAAATCCCGACTGGGCTGTCAAATTCCCGCCTATATGGGGGTAATGTTAAGTCAAATGCCGGGGCTTGCCCGGCTGATCGCGGTTGGATTTGACTCGTACATAAGTAGCTATATATTTTTAAAGCAGAAGCAATATTCAGCCTATTTCACTCCTATAGATATAGATAGTTTTTGGTATGTTGAGCCAACATTGACAAAACCCATGCATTTGATTCCATGTTATGAGCGAGTATTGCGATTTTTCAACACCATTTTGATTTACGGAAGTTTAAACTGGAATCAAATGTTGTGAAAAAAATTGTAGTGCTCACTATACAGACCTTGATATCCGTCTTTAGACTCTACAGTATATAGAAATATTCTTCTATATAAAGTACAAATTTCCTACCTTTTCGCATACGTCTTCCATCAGCTCAATTCCACTCTCTAACTCTTCTTCATTTTCTTCTTCCTTCTCTGTTTCCAAGTGAAATTCTGCTTTCCCCTTTTCTCTATCTCCGCTGTCTCATGTTTCGGCTCACACAGTATTCAATAAACCCATGCCTGTTATCGTAAAAATGTTCCTATAAAGTAATTGCAAAATGCAAAATTAAATACGCCTGGTACAATTAGGAGTACACTTAATTATCATAATTTTGCAACTGTACATACAAGAGTGTCCCAAAAAAATGTCCCCTATCATATTTTGTGGTACTACATTGTTGCCTGTAATGAATATTCAAATTTTTTCATTTTTTTTATCAATGAACATATTACCTGCTCCAATTCCTCATTGTGATGCGTCACATTGGAGGGTTACTTCCTTGGCGACATCGTAGTAATGTAGGACAGGGTGACATGTGATGACTGATGAGTTTCTTTATCTCTTCGAATGCATTTTGCTGATTTTCATCCCAGTGCCATTCAACATCTTTTGCTTCTAGTTGACGAAGTGGTTCGGTGATAGTTGAAATGTTCGGTAAAAATTTGGAAAGATAATTCACCATACCAAGGAATCTCTTGACTGAGGGTACATCTGTTGGTTGAGGCATATTTTGGATAGCTTCCACTTTCTTCGGGTCAGGTTTGATTCCATCAGATGTCAGGAGGTGTCCAATGTAGGGGAACTTCAGTCAGCCTTAACTTCGCTTTCTCTTTATTCATCTTACGGTTCCTTTTGTGGGCTCTTTGCAGAGCATTTCTAAGATTTTGGTCATGATCTTTTCTTGCTGTTTCTATGTCGTCACCTTCCCCAAATACAAGCAAGTCATCGGCTATCACTGCCGCCCCTTTCAAGTTTTCAAACGTGATATTCATTTTTCTCTGAAACTCTTCTGGGGCCAAACAGATACCAAAGGGCATTCAAAGCCATCAAAAACGACCAAATGGTGTATTGAAAGTTGTCAGCTTGCTGGATTCTTCATCAAGCTTTATTTGCCAGAATCTGCTCTTTGAACCGAGAACACTTTCGCATTACTCAACTTGGTGGCAACCTCTTCGATGGTTTGCATGGGGTAATGTGATCTCTTAATAGCTTGGTTAAGATCCTTAGGATCGATACAAATCCTTAATTTGTTGGGTTTGACACTGTGACCATACTTGAAACCCAGTCGGTAGGATCATTTACTGGAGCCAAGATTTCTTCTTCAACTCATTAAGTCTCATTGCGCCCCCATGCGCCCTGGAATTGGGAACGGGGTAAGTCTCATTGCGCCCTCATGCGCCCTGGATGACACGTCAACTTCCGGGCACGATTGTCTAGCGCGTATTTATCGGGTTGCCTAGCAACGGTCACGAGTATAAAGTGCAAAATTCGGGCTTTCAAATGATACATCATGCGAGAAAATTGATCAAAAGTTTGCGAAGATTTTCGATTTTAAAACTCTATTTTTTTACAAAACCTGTGACAACCGCAAAGTGTCACAAGATAGGACTTTGCAGCAAGTTTTAAGGATGAAAAAGAAGAGGTTTTTAAAGTGTTTTACATATAAAATATATTGTAAAACATAAGGGAGTGTGCATATGTTTCAAGTCAAGTTCTTGTCCAAATCAAGTCGCGCGATTTTCAGCCAGAAAAACAGCAATTTCTTTCAATCTAACGGAAAAGTGAAGTGGGAAATCGCAAGAAACATGAACACTAAATCCAAGTGAGTAGTTACGATTTTTTTGAGCGTGTTTTTGAATGAAAATACCTGGCATGTTTTCATGAAATACGATATAGCATTAAAGCAAGTTCAATCTAGTTTAAAACTAAGTTTTTAGAAGAACTTTTCGTGCATTTTATGGCATGATTTGGACTGTTTTCGTGACCCTACTGTTGGTCGTCTTGCTCAAGTTGTTATTTTAGCTGAAGTACTTTCAGAAGACAGTAGGTTCAACTTGTCATGTGCGTATATACATTTTTGGCAAGAAAAATTTCGAGTAAAACCGCATTAAAACTAAGTAGAATACTCTACAATGAATACTATATCTGTTTCTATAAACTTTGTCTCGAAACGAGCTCTCATTTCAGAGATAATGTGGTTTAAAATCAGTGTATTGAATTATGCCGTTACTTGGCGCGTGCGAATTCTGAACCTTCATGACAGGGATTTGAAAAGCTTCTAAAATACACTTTATTGCTTCATATATCCCCATAAAATTTTTAAATCAATAAAGCACATCATAAAACTAATGTACACTCATTTTCTAAGAAGTACTCATCGATTACCTGAAGGAAAAGTTTAAAATAGGTCGGGAGAGTAGTTTACAAAATGCCGTTCTCCTCTGAAATGGCTTCTTTTGCGGGAAGCCATTAAATTTATGTACTTTCCAAAATTGTAATTTAGTCGCTTTTTTGGTCTCATTGTTCACTTATTTATCATGGAATTACTTCGCTTGAGCTCTTTTAATAATATCTGCCAGATACTTTGCTATTTGGTCAAATAAAAGCTATATTTTTAGCAGTTCATCTTTTGAAAACTGCATGCGCAACAAAGTGTCACCAACGTGTTTACTCTCGTCTGACAAACAACCAAAGATGAAATACTTTATTTCACTCTTTTATAGCAATCTAAAATGCCTAAATATTAGATTATTCATTTTATTTGAGCATACATATTATATTTTTATACAATTGGTCCTTGAAAAGGACTTATTTCAAGCTAGAGTCAGATTTCAAACTTGAGTCAGATTTCAAAAGAAACCGCCTGTCTGACATTTTACAGCAACCTACATTGGCGCGCACAACGTTTTAGCCACAAATCCGTTGTTTTCTCAACAGAAACAAAAGGAATTTCAGTTAAAATTCTTACCTGATGAATATTCAAAAGTGTTTATCTCTTTTTGACGACTTTCAGTGCTCTTAATAGCGAAATAAAAAGCCTTTTGTTTTGTCACCGCACGCTGCGTTTGAAAATGCCGGCTGTCAAAGTCAGAATTGAAAACACCTCAAATATTTTAAAATTTTCTCACCTTTTTCATCCTTTGTTTATATTTTAATTAGTAATTTTTGTACTTTGTGTTTTTCCAAACATATTTGAGCCATTTAAAAACTTCAAAGAGGTACAAACACTGTGTTTTTGGGTTACAGAGTTTTTGGACTTGAACAACAAGTTCTGAAGTTCAAGTTCTCCATTGTAAACTAGATGTCCTGAGTGTGCCTGAGCTATGCCCAAGCAAATTTTTATAGCGTTTCATTATTTTGTAATTTATACCCTACAAAATGAAAACTAATTTGAAAATAAATGTGTACCAATCCAGGAATCAAAAAATATTTCTCCATTTATGTTGGGTTATTGAATTATTGCCCTTCAGATGTTGGGTGTCATGAAGAAACAAAATGTCAGAGACTTAAATTTACACAAACCAAGAATTCTCACCCAAAAATCTAATGATATATTTAAGTGTGGGAGCTAATTTAAAATAGAATTGATTAATCATTTATCATTTTAACCAACTGCAAAATTTCAAGGTTTTTTATAACATTGATCTTGAGATATGGGTATTTTTGTAAAAGCAGTTGACAGAAGTTGACAGTAACTAAAATTCGCCATTTTCCTTGCAACTTGGGGAGTGCCAATGTTGCAACAGTCTGCAACTTAATGAGTTAACCATGCGATCCAGTTCTTTCTTCAGGGAATCTTTCAGGGTTAACTGGCACTGTACGAGGATGTATTACCGGTTTTGCGCTTGGATCAATTTCAATGTGAAACTTCCTTCGAGACATCCAATTCCTTCGAAATTCGGTATATTCTTGGAAATGTTAGAACTTGCATTCATTGACATATCCTCATGCACCACTGGATCAATATCATGCTTGTCATTCATGAGAACCTGCAAGAACTGTAA